GGCAATGACCTGGTAGCTATTAATGCGCAGAAAAGCGCTGGCGTCACCTCCGGTCTCGTACTTGGCCACAAAATTGCTGCGCGCGGTGCACCACCATAACCTGGACAAGGAGGGTATCACCGCCATGGATGATGTATTTTGACTGAAGTGTCACGGATCGCAACGGGCAGGGGGACTGATAGGCCTTGCCGGACAAGTGACACGGTATGCTGGCGAAGAGGCTGACAGAGTGGCTTCGATGGAGCCATTCTTGGATAATACAAAATGCCAAGTGTAGTCATTGAAGCGAGCAGGCATCACGAGAAGATGACCCGAGCCCAAGGGTCGCCAAGGTCCGCGGGGATGACAAGGACGGAGGACAACGACTGCAGCAGCACGGAGGTGCAGCGATCTAAGGACGGTCGTCACTGCGAGGGAGATGATGCTGACATGCCAGGTACTTGGCCTCGATGCGGAAGGAATGACGACAAGAAAAGTAGGCAGTCGCGAACTTTCCAAGACAAGGACAGAAGACAGAAACTCACAAAAAGCTGCATATCCTATCTCTTTTCTCTATCAATTGACCGCTATCTACAGCTCATGAAGTACTTACGAACCCGAAGCCTTAGGAAGACAGCGTCAAAAGGCAAAATGCTTTTCCGCGATCCAAAAGCTCGAGTCACGGCCAAAGTGGTTAAAAGGATAGGCTTCATCGAATGAAGCCTATCCTTTTGCCGGACGTGGCAGCATTACAGCTCATGTGCAGTTATGACTTGTAGACTTCGGCGCCTGCCTCCTTAGCTGTCGCGTCCTCGGGATTCATCGTAGGTGCATCTCCACGGTGAGTTCTACACGTCATGGAACATAGTATTGTTCACTATCTTTGCGTGCTTTCACGCTGTCCTTCAGCGACGACACGAATGCGTTCACCACTCCAGTCGGCGTCGTACTGCAGATCCGCTTCTCATGCTGCTGCATCAGCTACTATAGCCGCCACAATCACCACCACACAACTAAGTGTTCCAATTTTTCATATAGTGTAATATCCAAAATTATAAAACTAATGCACGTGTTTTACGTGAGAGCGAAATTCCATTCACTCAGAATATTCCATCGATTCATCTCTCTTCAGTAATAAACGGGGTTCCGCCCTCGTTATTATCATATAGAAAATTAGATTCTTCATCATCCAATGCGGCGTTCGCCTCTGTTAGGCGAGCGCTACAACGAATCTCCGGAAGCTCCTTTTTTCCTTCCCACGTTTTCAAACCATAAAATTGTGCATCGCACTTCGGACGCGGCGTTGCTCTTAGTAGCCAGAACGTCTGGTAGTTAGCAGCTAAGGCCAAGTACTGTACTTGCCGAGCCTCAACCCTTCTTCGCCATGATGTCAATTACCGCCGAACTCAAACCTAAGTGCGCTGTTTCTTTGCCACCAACCCATCTCAGCTCTACGAATCTCGTCCCAGGCAGGCCTTCTTCCTCCAACGGATCGTTATCGTCTGGTGATAAGCCGTCCACGGGTTCAGGGATTTTTATCTGCAAAAGGGTGTCTCCACCAACATTTGAAATACTTCAGCCAGTTCACATTGTCTCCACCAACCTTTGAAATACTTCAGCCAGTTCACATTGATAGTCACTAGCTTGTCAGGGTGGCTCGGGATGGAGATGCTATAGGCATTCTCCCCGACTTGGCCAACTACACGGTAGGGGCCGTGCCAAGCGAAAGCTAGCTTCCTAGTCGTCTTATCACCCAGCTTGGCTCTGGTAGACCGACACCAAATCACCCTCTATCAATTCCACGCGTTCCTGACGACTTAATCGTCGTTCATGACGGTCTTTTTCTTATTGAGCTGGCGATCCACCATCCTACGCGAGTCCCACTGCGACAAGTAGAGGCGGCTTCCGTAAACCGCTACCTCACACATAATGGTTAGTGCCTTTACAGCGAACGTTTCAATCCAGCGTGTGCAACAGTCAGTGAACACTAGAATATACTTGTTGCTGCATTCCGTAGTAGAGAGAGGACCAATACCGTCGATCACCAATAACGAGAACGGCCCCCGAGAGGTCCATTACGGGCATCCACTGCATGATCTCTGATCTCCAAGGTCTCGATCCCTTCCCTCCGCTACATTGCGGGCAAGAACGGATAAACACGTCCGCATCTGTTTTCTATCCAAACCAGTACGCGTGTTTCCGGACGCGGTCCGTCGTCGTCCTTTTTCCCATATGGGCTGCAAAGATATCCGCGTGATAGTAATGGAACACCGTTTTGACAAGCGAATTGAAATAACGGGAATGATGGTGGTATTTGTCGGGCCAAATCGGGCTCGCAAAGAGGCCTACCGCATTAGCACCCCTATCTTTATCACGGAATGACACGCTATTTTGTATTCGTAGTTGAGGATCAAGGGGTAACACTTTATCTTCCTGGAACGCTTTTATAGCTCGTATCCAAGGCGTTCCAGCCTGGGCTTCCGCGAACCTGACTCTGTCCAACTCAAACATTTTCTATTGCGAGGATCCTGACGTCAAGATATCACTCGTTTCGTCCTCCGCCTGATCTTCTTGTATTAGCCTGGAGTCTTCGATTCGTTCTTCATTTGCCACCTTCGAGGTTTCGCTCGCTTCAGACGTCTTCCGGTCCACTGTCGCCTTTCCGACTTAAACGTGACCACCGTTTGTAGAAGTCGAAGCCTCAGTAGGTCATTTATTTCCACTCGGCGCTCCATTACTTGGTCTGGAACGCTCTCCTGGCTCCCAGTGTTGAGAAGATCTGTCATTAGAGCTTTCACTACAGAAGGCGGGAAGAGACGCGATAATCCGTCCTCGTGACCCATAAGCGTTCCAGGCTTTTGGTAAACTTTAAATCGGAGTTTCGATTCCATCGGGCCAACTTAGCGTTAGTCGTCCTTGTGTTTTCTCCGAAGATTAACGTGAGAGCCTGGTGAACCGTGTACAAGTCAACCTCCCCATGATCAAGTTAACAGCGGAACTTGCGGGTCGCCAAAATGATCCCCAAATACTCAATTTCCGCCGTTCCACTGGTCATGCGTACCCTGTTGCGCTGAGGACCCGACAACACCATGCTAAGCTTGCTAGCGCACACGATCTCTCGATCTCAACCATCCACTATCCACCTCTTGCCTGAGGCACGCCCCGACGGCCAGGTGCGACGAGTCTACGTAGAGTTTGAACCTCTTCGAGAAGTCAGAAAGATAAGCGGTCTCACTAGCTCACGTTGTAGTTGCATGAACACCCCTTCGCGGTCACTATTCCACTTGAATGCTACACCTTTTTGCTTTTGGTATTCAAGCGGGCGCCGCAATGGCAGCGAACTCTGGTATATAGAGGTGGTACTAGCTAGTCAGCCCCATAACCACATCACGCAATCATCCAGATAGACTAGGCACTCCCGCCACTTTAAGTCCACTAGGACGTTCTCCATGAGGCGCTCGAACCCTGGGACAGCGTTGCATAGCCCGACAGGCATCACAAGCCGCCCAAATAGTCCAACTTGCTCGTGAACGCCGTCTTCTCAATATTATCGGAACGCATCGGCACGTTTCAGCAGCCAGACTTGATGCCTGTAGTCGAGAATAGCTGAGCCTTCCACCAGAACGTCCAGGGTGTCGTCTATCAAAGGCATAGCACAGCAATCATTGATAGTAATAGCGTTCTACTTCCGATAATCAATGCAGAAGCGGATTTCTCCCTCTGCTTTGCATATCATCAGCACGGGGCTCGCCTATGGACTCGCGGATGGTCGTATCAGATTCAGGTCCAGAAATTGTTGCAACTCTGTCTCCAATACGTCTCCTTCAGCTTTCGACACTCAGTACGGTTGCTGCTTAATAGGCTCATGCGTTCCCGTATCAATACAGAACTCCAACAAATACGCGCTGCCTGGTCGCTTGGACGTCTCATCGAACAGATTCTTCAGTTCCCACAGCATGGAGGTGAATAGCGACTG